TATGTGGAATTGTAACTTGCTAGGCAATAATACCATTCGCTTTTCTCTGTCTTTTAGTATTACAGAGTGGTGACTTACTGTTTGTGCTAAGGTGTTTAACATTAGTTACATGTCAGACCTGGTGGTATTAAAATGCCAACATCTATCTGACGAAAGCTTCTCAGATACTGACTATTTTTATTAGCTTCAAAGATGTTCGGCTGACACAGGTAACCTAGTCAGTATTCAAACGTCGCTTTTTATCATAGTTTTATGTACTGAACAATGAAGTAGACACTAACAGCTAGTAAAATATCATCTTATGTATGAGAATGAATTGATGCTTTGCAGATTTCTTTAGAAGGATGTGCATCGTGTGACTTTCTGACAAAACAAAGCTAACACCTGGATTAGTTAAGAAACTAATTCGCTTTTGAAGTGAAGCCGCTGACCTGATGTACTTGTAGCATTAGACTGGTTACCCTCCACGGGGACAATATTCCAGTAAAGGAAAAACTCTCCTGAAACCAATTAGCTGTTCTCCACGAAAAGATAAGTGCTAGCAAGCAACAATTCACAAAAACATACAAAGCATGGATAATTATATTTGAGGTTTATAACTTTTGGTGACTATGTAGGCATACAAAATTGGTTTTTTTTTCTTAGATTACAATGTAATGAATCTGTTATCTGATTTATGTGATTTTCCACTAACTAACATTCAATGACTGAATCGGTAAACTTTTATAAGGCATTTGTGGATCCCTGAATGGCTTGACAACGCGATTATTGACATGGAGGGAATTCTTTGTTTGCTGATGGCTTACAATTGATTTTATAACATAGGTCTCTTCTTATCCGTAGTATACTGACTGAGCATGTCCGCCTATTTATGATATTTTTCTCTCCTATGCTCAAGCCTATCAGTCCTCGATTTACGTACTTGTGTTAGTGAGTGGCGAAAGCCAACATTTAGGCAACAGCTACTACCTGTTTTAAAAACAACTTTATCATTTTCTGTAGTCCAGTCGTCTTAGACCACATCAGCCAAACTTTGTTGTTATCTGTCAATACAACCATAACTGGTGTAGATGTGTAAAATAGTAAGATTTTCTATGCTGTTAGACAGATCATCACTTCAGCAGCTCAGATTGCTGAAATTAAGTGTCAGGAAGTAAACTTGAGATTGAAACTAAATTAAAAACAAATGTGCCTCAGGAATATTGAACGACTGTACAATGCTAGTCGTCTCAGTTTTTGACTACCTTAAAAATGATTGCCATTCTCTTTGACCGGTACTCACTCTTAGCTGTTCTGGCTCTTTGATGATGGAAAGTAATGTTGCTGGATACTATCACTGGTAGGATATGATTGAATAACCAATACCTGTCGATTTCCCACAGTCCTACAAGTCTTATTCATCTTTGGTGAAGATAGGAAACTAGTCAAAAGTACCTTGTGTACTCCTCACGATGTACAAGTGGTCAGTTGTGACTTGAACAGCTTAGCGGACAAATCCGGTTAAAATAACTGATTTCCTCATGGTCCCAGGTATGCCCTACTGACAAATGCCAACAAACACGAGGTCTAGGTCAATCACGGTTTCCTATCATTTGACTCCGACCACCCACTACCCCCCAGCAGTTTACAATATTCCCATTGTAGATTTCTAGTCATAAACCTGACCTATTATATTAACACAACATCGATCCAGTTAATTAAATGTTGAATATATAACAATAGCTGAAAACGCAGTATGACAATTATAAAATGAAAATTCTTTCCTGTCTGAAATAGTTTCACTGACAAGAATGGTTGCTAACTCTTAACGAAATCTACAGAGATATTCACTGTCTGCTATGTATGAATGACTTCACAAAGCTGTATGACCCAAAACATTTTTTTTACCAGTGAATAACACCGTGTCCACAATTAAACCAACTAACTCTATGTGCCCTTAGTACTTATAATAACAGGGTATAGACTAAGAGAAGTTTCTAGAACTGTATCAGTAAACAACGTCTAATCAATCAATATCAAGTCAAAATATTGATTCATGTTTCGATCAGTTAAACTCTTCATACATGTTTTTAACATAAAAGCAGAGTTCTTAGTTATTCAATTGATTTGAAGGGATATTTCTACTTTTTTGTTATCTAGAGGAGTAAAAGTATCCCATTTGTGGATTTGTGTGGTGGGGATATATTAAAAGATTTGAGATAGCGTAAACAATCTTTCATGGAATAGATGAATGGCTTTAGCATTGCTACTTTCCTGGAGCTGCATAAGTGAACTGCCAACTTTTTCGTCATCTTAAAAAACATCACAAGCACAAATTTTCATGACAAAAAATCAGTATGATTTTATATCTCACATAAAAATACATAATAAGATGAATCCAAATAAAATGCTACAATTCAAAGTTGATCGGATAAGAGAGAAGAATTGTATGACTTAGAGACCAAGTTTTATACAAAAGACTTCATAGATCATTATTGTTTTGATGCAGCCAATATCTAAATAAGAAATCAATAAACTGCACCTTGAATTACTTCCTCACAGCAATAATTTAATGAAAACATGAAAAATAATCTTAGGATAAGATATTGAAAGGATTTCAGATGGAATCTGTATATTTAACTTTTTTCATGTTAACGTAGATTAGTACAATTCATTGGACCTATTTATCAGAACCAGTTCGTTGTTTTTCTACATTATTCAATACAGTCTAAAATCTCGATTGAACTAAATAACTTCTTTGCAGAATATGCTGTTGTAGGTGAGAATAACATAACTGGAAAACAGGTAGATATGCAATTTCACTGTGATTTCATTTAGAAAAGAAAATATATTTAAACCTAACTGTTTCATCTACTCGGTATATTTACTGGCATCAAGATTTTGACTATGCAAACAGTACTAAATTGACCACTTTGTTGTGTCGAAGTCCTATCTCTTTGACTAGTCAACATTGCCAATCACTTTGAGTGGTCTACAACTACTCACATCAGTTGATTCTATAAACTGTACGAAACTAAACATGAATAACATATTTCCCCTTGATAAAGTATGTTCACGGAAGCACAGGCCATATGTTGCTTCGTTATATTTCAGTTGTTCAGTACAGCATAATATACTGTAAAAAGCCCACGATTATTCGTAAATAGTTTAATTACATCGGTGATAATTCACTCGACTACTTCCATGTTATAGTTTGAATTGTTTCTGTAAAATCAAACTGCTGAATACATTACAACAAAGTAACTCATTCTATCTGGAGGTTTGTGGGTTGGAATTCATCATGGAATGACATCAGTTGGAGGAACATTGGAAACCTAAGAGCACTGGACAGCCACGGTTTCATTCCAGTGTGGGACTCCTCAACAGTATCAACCCACAACCCCCTCCAGGGATCGGGCTCAGGATCTTCAGGTTCCACTGCCATCACATCACTATTGGGCCACTGGGTTGTTGGTTAACGGTCCTCTTTTTCGCACTTCTACCGGTTCACGATATAGTGCGACCAACATTCAATGTCGTTGTTGATTAACTGTCCTCATGTTCGACTTGGTTGACTCTATTGGTCACGACTTCTCATTGGAACTTCATGAATCACCTCTCAAACCTAGTCACCATGATGAATTCCAACCTAGAATCAGTTAATAAATCTCCACAAACCTCAAAGACAGAATTAATCTAGCTCTCATTGGTGACTAGATTTGAGAGGTGATTCATGAAGTTCCAATGAGAAGTCGTGACCAATAGAGTCAACCAAGTCGAACATGAGGACAGTTAATCAACAACGACATTGAATGTTGGTCGCACTATATCGTGAACCGGTAGAAGTGCGAAAAAGAGGACCGTTAACCAACAACCCAGTGGCCCAATAGTGATGTGATGGCAGTGGAACCTGAAGATCCTGAGCCCGATCCCTGGAGGGGGTTGTGGGTTGATACTGTTGAGGAGTCCCACACTGGAATGAAACCGTGGCTGTCCAGTGCTCTTAGGTTTCCAATGTTCCTCCAACTGATGTCATTCCATGATGAATTCCAACTTAAAATTAAACTTAAGTATGATCACTCATTATCGATCAAAGTCGTCTCTCAAATTTAAAAATGTGGTAGTCTACGGCCTTAGCTACCTCATCCTTCTAGCTTATTTTAACAAAGAAATCTTTCAAAGCTTAGTTGCATGAAACCATAACATTCTGAAACTGCTTATGAACACAGGAACTACCAGTTATCTACTTTTGTTTTAAAATTTTTCACACACGGATGATTTTCCATCAAATCAGCAGCGATATCACCAAGATTACTGCTAAGGATCATTTAATCAGGACTATATGATGTAGTTTATTTAACAGTAAGGCGGGTGCGCAGTTCTAAAAAGTCCTATCCAGGATGGTACAACTCCTTGGTGCATCCAAGTTTTACATATTTCTTCAAATGATATCAATCCATGATGAAAACTACCTTGAAATCAATCAATTCCTAAAACCTGAATTGTCTTCACTGAAATCATTGACCGAATAAATATTTGCTCAAACTATGCAAACTTTCAGCAGACAGACAGAAAATTACATGATATTCTACCTTTGAAATAAAACCAGAAACGTAATGTTGTTCAAAGTAATTTTAAACCAGGACATGTGATTCGTAAAAATCAATATTTATGGATGAATTGACCAATCAGTGACTAGTCTGATATTTGTCTGATATATATATATATATATATATATATATATATATATATATATATATATAATCAGACAACTCAGTTTGAGTGCAAAAAATTTAAATTGTGTTACTTTAGTAAGTGCGTACTATACATTGAAATCAACGACACTTTTCTGATCCAAGAACTTTTCAAAACAAGATTTCAAGTTAAGAAGAGTAATCTTACCTCAAAATCAAAAAAAGATACACAAGGAGATAATTTAATAATTAATTTTTTGAACATTCATGTTTTGTGGATAAGCATATTATCTGACTGAAAATTTATTCATTTATTTAACTATCGCCATGGAAAATGTAAATATTAATAATGACAATGACAGTAAGATGAAAATGCCAGCAGAGAAAAGAACGTCAGAAAATGTCTTTAACATAACTACGGAAACACCAACACCAGTAATGAGGGATAAAGCCACTGAAGGTGCTGTTTGGACTGAAGTAAGTTAAATATGCAAAAAAGAAAAAGAAGTCAATTTTTTAATTTAATTTTAATTTCAATAATTAAGTGCATAGTTGTATATTTTATTCAGTGAAATGAATGTATAAATGATCTCAATACTGTCTTGTTAGCAAGCATAGAAAAAACATAAGAAATCTGTTATGTAAATGTTGTATAGCTTGAGATCGAATTACCTTCTAGTTCCATATATACTGGAACAACCTCATTCAAATGGTCTCACAGACAGTTGCTTCACAGTTTGTTTGAAATAATTTTCCACAGAATGGAGTCGACTATCCACTAAACGTTGAATTGTACGTCTTATTTGTTTGTTATCCGTTTAGCTTGTTTCCAACTGTAAAGCCTTTGAAAAGCTGTGACTGACTGACCCTGGTACTCAACATCCATCCGTGGGTCATGGGTTCGAATCTCGCTCCATCTACTGAACTTTAGGCATCCAGGCAGTAACAACTGCACCCCCACAATAGGTGTGACTCACTGCCTACCGAACAAAAGTACATATGGTTAGTGAGTGCATTCCAATTTTTTTATTTAGTCGACAAAGCCATTACACTCAGTTTAAGGTTAGAGAACTGGTCATTCCAGCAAGTAAAGTGGATATCTTATGACGTTTTTTTTCAGCAAAGTGATTTTCGGTAGCTATGGGCTATTTAAACTGTGTAACGACTTAAGAGCGTTAAGAATTCCAGTCGTCAGAATGGTTCTATAACTGTTATGCTATCCATGGTGTACAAAGGATCTCCATTTGATTATAAGACCGAATGGTAGTGTTCAACAGGTGCTGAACACAACAAACAGTACAAGGTCCTGTTTACCAACACCTGCTGACATTCTAATGATATGATGATAATGATAATAATCATAATATGATGAGTAATTGTTAGAAGTCCACAGCTACTTAACAAAAACTTAATTCCATTTAACTTTATTGAAATACTTTTTACTTCATATAATATATCTACTACAACATTCCTAAATGCATAACATTGAAAAATATCTATTTCATTACACTGTCTTCAGTGCGAAATAGTTGTACAAAAGAAACAGATAATATCCAAGGCAAAATTTCCTTCCAATGTTGAAACAATAACGAGAAGGGGAAAATGTACCTAAAAACTTGATCCAACTTACTTATTTGTATTAACAGTAATGAAGTCACAGCCAACAGTTTTTTTGAATGTGATTTAAATATAGATACTCAGAAAAAAATCATAGTTTTGCTGGTGAATCAACCACAAAATGGATTCGAACACAATCAAGTCACTGCGTTACACTTTTTATCCTCATAAGTAATAAGAGGCATATGGTTCTTCTAAAATTATTTTTAGTTTAAGCAGATAACAAACGATGATTGAAGATGAAGTGAAAATCAAGTCTGCGGCAGGATTCATACCTGGAAGAAAGAATCAAACAGTTAGCTAGTCTGATTTCTGAAAATAAGGATTAAGTATCTTATCTCACTTCAGTATTGATTATTTTTCAATCTGAATTGATGGGAAATACTTTTGTAGCTAGCGATGATCATGGTTTAGTGTTCCTTGAACCATCCTCTTTTTTCAACTACATGAACAACAAATTTAGTACAATATTTTATGCCATCATAGTAAGTCTGCCAGAAAAATTTACAACTAGTTAACAAGAAAGAATAAGAGTTCCTTAAAATAGATTTTTAGCTGTCCCCAATAAACATTCGTGATACACTCTCTCACAAATATTTCACTCTTTTTAACGATATTAGACAACAAAGATTAACTCAAAAACTGTGATATATTTACGCAAGACATTTCAAACAATCTGATCACACATATACTTGTTAAATAAATGTATACATGAAAAAAACTTTAAGTATAAAATTTCAAGAATATGCAAAGGTTGTGACACTTCTATTGGTAATATAATCAAATAAGTATAACTAAGGTAAATTAAGTGAAACCCTGTTGACAACAGAATTAGGTAGTAGAAAAACCACTCAGTGGAGACGGATCCCAATGTGGTCTATGCAATTTGTTAATCATTTGAAAATTGATCATCTTATTTTGTGGACACGTTTCATATGGGTGTACGGCACATATTATTCAGGTGTGCAGAACACCTGAAGAACTACCACTGATTACCATGAAACACACAACAACTTGTAGAGTAATTGCTCGATTCCAAAGACAGTGATCATCATCATTTGTGTGTGAAGAAACAAAGACAGGTGAAAGCAGGAATCAAGGCAATTCAAAATATTCTCCTTTACCTAAGGTATCGACCTACAACCAGATTGCAGTATGCTGGGATATCGTGAAACACATAGACTGTCGAAGCTAAAAATAAGAGATGGACAAAGAAGATGGTCAGAAAATCTGAAGAAAAGGCAGTGTCACTTCCTTGATGTCGTCACTTAGTATGCCAGTGGGTGACGATCCAGTAAGTGCTAGGTGGAAGTGTCGAGTGGAACATCAGCACTGGGATTGACGTAAGCCCGGCTGAAAATTCTATCAGACAATGAAATATGGATTCGGAACACCATTTCTCATCACCAACAGATAAATAGCAAAGGTTGATTTTCCTTATCTAATAACCGAAACCGTCATTCAGCCCTATTATTTGACAAAGGAAAAGAACATATTCTGGTAGTCGATTCAAGCTTTGTTCTAGTAATGGTTAACCATGGTCTAAGTGAGTTCAGATTCCATCCAGGCTTTTCCTTGTTGATGTATGCCAAGTTCCGTCGGAGACATTACTAATGATACGGCAACCACTTGTCACCATTCGTTCATGCAAACTCCTCACTTACTAAAACTTCGGTCGTTTCGTATTCAAAATCCACATCAAAATCATCGAATCGATTAAATCTCTCCATTTTTGTATGTTAAATGAAATCAAGATGAGTTTGGTCATCACAGACTATATCGCACGACAGTATACATAGTTTAACGCCATCAAATCGAGTTAGGGATCAAGAGTGTGGATATCCTAAATGATGAAACGAGTGACTGACATGCTTGTGTGAAATTCAGAAGCCGGTTACATCAATTGGATTCAGCGAGTCAATCGGGTGTACTGCAATGATCAAGCAAACTAACCAGCAAATATTTCACACTCAGTTTTTCACTCTGAATATATTCCATGTGAACCCAGAGAAAGAGAGAACTAATTACGAAGTGTATTCAAAGGAACTAAGTGTAGTTGGTTGTGTATTGGAAAAGTTTCATCAAGAAGTGAATCTCAAGAAACTTGCATACTGACAAATTCACCACTCTACAGAAGTATTGTCAGATGGTGGAGAACACACATTTAGAACAGTGTTTAGATATTTAAAGTTGGTCAGAATACTTAGAGGAACCAAGAAGTATTCTGAAATTCACATCTCTTTCCAGACTTCATTCAGTTGGAAGTGAGTAAGCCTAGACATTCTCATCGTGTGGTGTCAAGGCACATGATTTTGACCACCCTCAAATTTAAAGGCATTGATTTTTGAGAAAAATAGGAGAAGCGAATTAGTCACATAAACACGCGACCTTTAAGATTGAATTAACCGACTTCGGAAATTAAGTTCAGTATCTTAAGAATGACACAGCTCAGTGAAATGAAGTTTATCTAAAGTAATCTAGATCAGTTTACTGCACTCTACTACACAGTCAATAATTAATAAGTCTAACACTCAGATGACCCTGATAAACTGAATTGGTGCCCACAATAACTCGTTGAAATAATAGTTGGATGAACGTCAGTCTATACTATGGTGATGATTACTCTTCTTTATTCTGGAGATAATTTACAGACCACCCTAGTAACTGCTGAAATAACTAATCAGGTTTCGATATTCCAGACAGATAAATAACTTGTCATCAAATAAAGAAACTGAATTGGTTATCTGAGCAGTTGCTAGGCTAGCCTTTACAGTCAACCTTATTCTCACTTCCCTTCTTGTGTTTAGTTAGTATTCAGAGTCGACACAGAATAATTTTAGAGAGTTGTGTTTCATGGGTATGTGATATAGCAGGATCCGAAATGTGTACACACAATTGTCAGTTAAAACAATCTAGAAACGGTTGTATTCAGTCATCAATCAGATAATGCGTTCTCTTTTTCAAATAAAACTACATGGTTATTACAGAGCGATAATTCTCACTCCAATCAATACAAGGGCTTTCGTAAAACTCAGTCAAGTGTTCTTCTTTCTCACTGATTTTCAACAAGAGGTGAAGGTGAACTTGAACTCAATGCAGTTTAGCGATACCACAAAACAACACTACACTCGTCATTACTCGGATCTTGTAATCTACACGATCACAGGTTGTATTGGATCGTTACTTAAACGGAGAATATTGGTAGTGGTTTTCTCGAAGTGTCACCACTATAACCTGAATGTGTTAATCATTTGCTGTACAGCATATATTGTTGCCTACCCCTAGCTGATAACAGTCCATAACTGTTTGCCAAATGTTATCACAGAAAAACATTCGTTTGAAAGGCTAGATAGATAAGTTTGTATGGAACTACTAGTTGCATGTCAACTGAGTGTTTGATTGGTAATCTGTTCACTGCGAGGCATGGTCACACGAGTGATTTCTACCCATGTTTATGAATACGGAATTACTGAGGCATCTGAAACTTGGTCGTATCCGCTATCTACTGCATCCTCATTTCACAGCCTCATCTATCTGATGTCATTCACTCCACTATGGAATGTCTTTGAAATGTTGAAGATCAAATTTTCTTTCTGAAAATGAAAGCTCATTTCAACCAGATTCTCAAACAGCAGGATTATTCCAGCTCATCCTGAGTCTTTTCTGTCTTCATGACTTATTTTCTGCTCAAAACTAAATGAGATAACCAAGCAGACTAACTTTTGAATTATTTACATCTTCACCTTAAATTTGAACAAAGTTTTTAATGAATTGTCAGCATGATACGAGTTAATCTGATGTGTATGACGTTTAGGCACGTGTACTTGAAACTTGAAATCACAAATTTCGTCTCAGTTATC